GCACCTTGACAATTTTCTTATTTTTTTGCATTTCAATGCAATTAAACTTCCAAACAATATTTTTGAAAATATCATTAACATGTTATTTAATATTATACACAGTGTTTTATAATAGACTGGTTGAATACCCTAGTTCATGCAGCGTGATTAGTAAGGGAACCTCCATATACAAAGAGATAAGCCTAGTCCAGTATTAAAAAAACAATATAAATAGGTTCACATCGCATATAAGATATTCATTCCAAATGCATTCTTACATTTCGATACTAACTTTTCCACTGTTCAAAAAGTTTAAAGTTATTATCTAAAGTCTGAAACTTAAAATGCAACCATCAAGCTTTTCGCTTCAGTTGAATACAAAGTTTCTCTAAAAAAAATAATTTGGCGCAAGAGTATACATACATGTATGTACTATCACATGTATATACATGTATGTACTTATCTTTTTTTAAATATCGGGAGAATGCTACGATGTATTTTAGTGAAACTCGCTGTGAATTTGTTCTTATATATGTAACTCATATTTTAATATTGTTAAGTGGCAAGAAAACAGACATCTCTTTTTGCGCAACAACTATGATGCCTACATCATACAAAATTTTACAAATTACATCTACAATCAATCCYACAAGATTTTACAAAGAGAACAAAATTGTGAATAAAGGATTAGTGCATCAACCTAAAAAAYGAGTTAATTTAATCCACCAAATAAAAAGTTCTGGTAGTTTTTACAGCACGACACTCAAGAATTCACCACTTGTCCAAAACGGATAACCTCGATTGTTTCATCAAAATATGAGTGTTACACAAGAACAAATTCACAGCGAGTTTCATCAAAATACATCGTCAATAGCAGAGCAGCCAGACATTTTTTGCTAATAAAAGTTAGGACAGATCGTCTTTAATCCAAAGAATATCGCAGTCCGTTTTTGATCATGTGCTTACGGAACACTCTGTATATTTACCTATTTTTTATTCATTCAGTGACATTTTGGGGCAAGAAACCTTTCAAGATTCTTTAAAATTATGTATTATCGAGTAAATATAACTGTTTTCGGTAATTCACTCAAAGAATGAACATTCACATTCACACAACATTCACTCAAGAAATGACTAATCCTTTAGTCATAAGAGGAAAATGTAAGAAATAATTAAACATAATAAATTGATTAAAATTCTGCGACTAGTCATAGTACAAGAGTATGAAAGAATGCATTAAGCATCTCTTAATTTCAGAAGATATTTGCTTATATTTTGGGTTGAATCCGCTCAAGAAAATACGGAAGAGTGAGAGTCGTCACGCCATTAAACCAGTCGGATTGCATATTTTCACAACTATTTGTCATGTCCAATTTTTTACTATCTAAATGTAAGCAAATGTCTCAAATAGTGCGAAAAAAAACCCTGTAGCTTGGAAACATATCAGTGGCAGATAAGCAAAAAACAGAAGATTCTATTATTGGAATATCTGGTGTAAGCAGAAGAAAAATTTGTATGCATATAATTTTAATAAAAGCTGTTTAATGTGTAAATGCAATAAAAAATGTTTTATACTGTCTGGAAATAGGGGTCAGCGATCGGAAGCACTTGAGCTTGAAGATGAAAAGTCACAAAAATTCTAAAATCCATCTTCATAATTATTTGAAATTTGCTTATCTTTTATTTGTTGATAAAAAGTTTATATTCAAAATAAGTATACAATTTTAATAACAAAAGGATTAGAAAGTTTGCGAACACAAAAAAACGAAAGATCAAATTATTTTAGAAAATATCAGGTATGTTTTTTTGCAAAAAGTGCAGATCAACTTAAATTGTTTACCAGGAGTCACCAGGGGCTTAACTGCAATTTCCCCTAATGAAAGATGGTCAAGTGGTTTTAAAACCTCGTTTTGAAGAAAAAACGCTGCTCTAGAATTTTCCAACCAAAGAATCTGCTGGAATTTTGAAGATAATTCCCTTTGGCGATAAATCGCGTTTAATGACCTCACTACCAAACTAAATGTTAAATATAGAAAAGTTGTTGTCAGTTGAATTCGTTCTGAAACGCTTTGGCTGAAAATAACCCGCCGCTTAAACTATTAAACAGGTAAACAAAGTAACAAGGATATGATATTGAATTGGACAAGTTCATCTAACAATTGCAGGTGAGAAAATACCTGCTTTATCATCAAAAACTAAAATGTCAATCTATTATGAAAAATGCTTGCAATCAATATAAACTCTTTTGAAACCTCCGTTTTCCTTGCGCAATTGACGGGATCAATAAAGTAGCGAAACAAGTGGAAATCAGGGAAACTGTTCCCATTAAGCAGCAAACATGTGGTCGAAATGCTCTAGAGGCTGCTCAACGAGCTCCAGACTGATTTTTCAGATAGGTAAAAGCAAATGAAGTTATCTTGGTGTAAAGCTAATCGAAAGAAACGCTCGATTCTTACAGGAAATAGCGCTAGTTTGGCAACCAGCCCGGAAATAGCGGGAGAACCAACAGGCCCGTGCATCAAAACTTCCGTTCCAGGACCTAAAACTAAGCAACTTTTGTGCGAACTTAGCAAACTTCAGGTAAGAACATGGCTTGAGGAGGTTGATTTTGTATAGCACTCAGTACTCAGTGTTAACTAATAATTAAATAAATCATCGTTACATCATAGTCATAGAAATTTAAATTCCACTCCAAGTCTACGATGTGGCCAATATACGAAGAGTCAGATGGGAAATATCGGGAAACCATAAATCATTTCAATTGGTCAAATGTTGACGAAAATAAAAGACGAGAACATGGTGCTTGGAAGTCTTCGCTTCAAATATTTCATTCTGATCTATTTGGAAAAATAGCATTTTCGAGGTTCAATTTTTTCAAACTTTCTGGTGGTTAACTTCTCGTAAAGACCACATCATCAGTTTTTTGCTTGATGTTTCGCTTCAAGCTTAAAATTTTTAGTTACCTTTTTGGGCCATTATGCCGTCGTGGGAAAGAGTTTCTTCCTGCTGATAAACATTCACTCGAAAGCTCTAATACTTAAACGCTTTTCCCATTAAACTTGAAAAATTATTGTCTGTTTTAATAGTGGAACTACGATTCCCATGCTGACCATTCTTATCTTGGGCACACTTTAAGCTGAGCCTCATTGCATTGCAGCAAGCCGGATCAACAGAAATATTCATAAACTACGACAAATCCATCGGCAACTATTTAGTGGACGCAGATGAGAACACTTATTTGGACACGTACACCCAAATCGCCACCATGCCTCTTGGATACAACCATCCGGAGCTGTTGCAGGTATTCCGCAACGAACACGACCTGGTAAATAATCAAGATATA